GAGAGAGAGAGAGAGGGAGGGGCACAAATCAATCGGATTCTGCAAGTGCACATGCATACATGTGTGAGAGGCACATTTCCACATGCACAGACGCACGTATGCATGTGTGTTAGAGCTGACCTTTGGAGGAGGTGGAGGAGGAGGTGGGGGATACACAGTTGGAGCAGTCATTCTTTCCTCTGCAGATTGGTACCACCATTCCATCATCTTCACAAAGGAATTAAATTAGTCAAAGTTAATGTTTTTTCTTTTCTTTTCAGACTGCGATTATCAAATGCTATTTGTGTTCCATGAAACGTAGACAAATCTTTTCCACCTTGGAAAATGGTTTATAAAAAATCAAATAACATGAAAAGAAAGAACAACCAAAGGCTATTTATCTAAGACAACTTATAGGCATGCAAGGGTAGTTCTTTATGCATATAAAATTCACATCATTAGGTCCATAAAAATATAGATAAGGGTGCCATTCAACAATTGTTGAACACGTGAGAAATATGTATTAACTGTTTTTTCAGAAAGGAAAATGCTGAGACAAGCAGAAATCATATCAAGATTTTACGTCATAAGGAGACTGAAAGTAAGAAACTATGAAATTCACTCATGGAATACCAGGTTGGGGTTAGAACTACATTTTGGGCAAAATTATGAAGTTTTGATCAACAAGATTTCAAGCGTTTTTGAGACCCAAACCCATAAAACCCAGCTTTGAACGTAAGCCAATTGATAAGATGTATGCTCACTTTAAAGAAGAACACCGCAGCAATCAAACCAGTCTGTGCATAATCGAGAGTTCTGTATAAAGAACTAAGCAATACTCCCTGTACTGCCTGCATGTAAAAACATATAGCAATATGGATAATTTTTTCTCAAGCATAAAGCAAGTAACAATATCATCAACGAAAAAAATAAAGATACTTAAGAATGCATTCGTGAATGAGATAATTAGGTATATGGCATTTTCAATAGATAGACATGCATTTGTGTATCCGATCCCAATTAGTTGGGAAAAGGCTTTGATGGTGATGGTGATCAAGAGAATCAATTATAAATATAATATATATATATATATATATATGGAAAAAGATGGGGTTAGCCCACTAGCTCATATGAGCCCAACGGCTCATATTGAATTTGGGCCGATCTGACGGTCACGGATGTCCGTCAGTATTTGAATTTTATTTATTTTTCTATAAATCTAAATCACTTGAAATTCTAAGTATGTGTTCTTCTCATCAAGGCACACCTAAAAAAATATAAAAAAAATTATTTACAAAAAATAAAATGTTCAAAATACCCCCGAAACATTTTGGAGGTATTTTGGTCATTTTATTTCATGTAAAATATTTTTTTGATATTTTTTGAAGATTCACCTATTTTTGATAAACAAACGCCTAAAATTTCAAGTGATTTGGATTTGTAAGAAAAAAAATTAAAATTCAAACACTGACAGATATCTGTGACTGTTAGATCGACCCAGATCCAATCTGGGCCATTGGGCTCATATGTTCATATGCGCTAGTGGGCTGACCCCAGCTTTTTCCTATATATATATATATAGATATTGAAAAGTCTTCCCAACGCCTATAGGCGAAAATGAATAGTGATTTCGCCTACCATTGTCACTGTCCAAATTTCATCGCGCGGTCACGATTGTCCAATAGTGTTTTATTTTTCATTTTTTTTCTACAAATCAGAATGATCTGAAATTTGGAGGGTATGTTCATCTTTTAGAGGCGCATCTAATAAAAATATAAAAAACTTTATCCGCGAAAAAAACATTGACCAAAATACCGCCAAAATTTGGGGGTATTTTAGTCAATTGTTTTCGTGTAAAATATTTTTTTATATATTTTTTGAAGATTCCCTTATTTTTGATGAATATACGCTCTAAATTTCAGATCATTCCGATTTGTAGACAAAAAATTAAAAATGAAACACTACCGGACAATCTTGACCGCGCGATGAACTTTGGACGGTGATAGGGGTAGGCGAAATCGCTGTTTATTTTTTCCTATAGGCGTTGCGTAGTGTTTTCCATATATATATATATGAGTAATGATCCTATAAGACCCTCCCCCACCCATGTGTGTAGTACCC